TGTATTTCAGTAGTTTACAACTAAGATGAACAGAGATCTCTTAACAGAAAAGTACCTCTCCAACCTTTACACCGAGCTTCGACCTATCCTCTGTGCGCCTCTTCTCCAGCAGCTTCGCCACGTCCTCATACCTTTTCTCTGTATGTGAACAGATAAGAATCCACCAGAACTAGACTCTGCCACGTTGTGGTCCAAGTTTTCAGAATTGCAGTTGAAGAAGCATAGAATTTTAGAATGTTAATGTTAGTGCTTCTTTAAATACCCGGCTTTCCTGAGCCTTAGAACCACCTTCATTCTGCGTGCACCTGCTGGTGATAACCACGGGAGCTATGTGTGGAATGACTTTGATTGCCATTGTTAGCGCTGTCCGTTGTTAAGAGCCGCTTTTTGGATACGTTCAAGCTTCTTAGTGAGCGTAGTTGAACATAAGACATCATTGGTTTGACTATGGTGTTGTAGAGACAAAACCGCACCTTTGGTGAGTCTAGTTTTCAGTAGATCTTTAATAGATGAGGTTTACTAAGATTTTCTTATCCTATAGCATTGATATCTTGTGTTGTTGTAGCATTATAAAACATTTCTAAAGTACCATTTAGTTTTGGAGAATACTGCTATACTGGCAGTTCAAGATCGAATACAAATATGGGGTTGTTTCGGTTATGTATACTCAATGGGAACGTCTTTCAATCTTCCGCTAAATCTTCAATAAGTTTATTGCTTATTCTAAGCGAGTAATTTAGTACACGAATCAGCTTGTGTATCGACCTCTTCTATATACTATTGTCTCTTTATAGAGTCTATTTAATCATGCAACTAGCAGAGAATGGCACACTCCTCGATTATGTACGCGAAAAGAAATTTCTAGAAGAGCCGCATAGTCGCAATCTATTCCAACAATTAATCAGCGCCGTCGAATATATACATTCTAAAAATGTGGTGCATCGGTAAGTGACGAAAGAGTTTATCTTTAACACTTTTAATAAAATTTCTCACTCTCTTTAGTGACATAAAATGCGAAAATCTCCTACTAGACGAAACTTATACGTTGAAATTGATCGATTTCGGCTTTGCACGCAAAGATACGCGTACTACTGATCAGCAGGTGATACTTTCGAA